AGCAAGCTTTGGGTGAGACTCATTGTAAACATAATTTCCCCCTCTTCTGGAGTTGTCTCAGTTAATACCTTGCTAGCGGACACCATTTTAAGGAACTTGCTAGATCATTTACTTAATAATCTCAGAGGGATAGCCATGTTAATCTGTAACTTTAAAATATATAACATGAGCAAAACCCACTTCTTAGAATCATAGAATCTTAGGGGTGGAAAAGACCTCAAGAGTCATCAAGTCCAACCCCCTGCCCAAGGCAGGACAATCCCAACTAAATCAACCCAGCCACGGCTCTGTCAAGCCAGGACTTAAAAAAAACTCTAGGGATGGAGATACCACCACCTCCCTAAGGAACCCATCCCAGTGCTTCCCCACCCTCCTAGGGAAATAGATAAGAGTGGAGGGAAAAAAGGAGGAACCTCACAATGTACAACAGAAAAAAGGGAGGGGGAGAAAAATATCTGTCAATAGTAGTACCAGTGCTAATGAGGCTATCAGAGTGGGCTGGAAGTGTCCCAGACTTAGCTTTTGATGTCAATTGGATGTTGACTATAATGGCCTCTCTAGTTCATAAGCTTTTGATGTCAATTGGATGTTGAATATAATGGCCTCTCTAGTTCATGTCTTTGTTCAGGCCATGAGAGAGAGTGTCAAATTTGCATATGAAGGCCCGTTCTGCAACTTCTCTCCATGGTTGGTTTCTGAAATGCCTTTGTAGAAGAATGGCCACTTTTAAACCCATGCATGAGTGCCCAGGTAGGTTAAAATATGCTCCTGCCGTTTTCTGTATTGCCACTTCTGATAGCCAACTTATGTCCATTAACCTTTGTCGTAGAACAGGGGTCAGCAAACACTGCACACATGCCAGAAGCAGCACGCGAGCCAATTTTTACTGGCACACAGGGCAGGAGCTCAGCCTTGCCCCTCCCAGACTCAGCTGCAGGCTGGAGCACGAGCTGCAGCTTCCTGCTGGGACAGGAGGGGGGGGGCGTGAGAGGCACGTGCATGCATGTCCCTGGGGCTGCCCCTGCCCTGCCTGGGCATGCAGCTCCCAGGAACTAAGGGGTTAACCGCCCTCTCCTGGCTATAGACTCTGCTTCCTGCTTAAGGTGGGGACAGAGCTGGGCTGCTCCACAGAGCTGGGGCTGAGCAGCAGGCACATGTGTTGTGCCGGGGCCCAGACCAGCTGGGAAGGGAAGAGACTCTCCTCTCCCCGCCTCTCCTTGCCCAGCGCTGCTCCCAGGAGTCTGAGTCTCAGCATTGCTGTCCTGCTGATGAGTGCTCTTGGGGCACAGGGATGTGGAAGCAGGAGGGGGGTGAAGGAGGAAGCGGGGCAGGATGGGAGGGGACAGGGGTTGCATTGAGGGGCAGGGGGCGATATAGGGCATCAGGCTGCAGGGGCGGGATGGGAGGGACAGGGGTTGCACTCAGGGGCATAGGGTAATGCAGGGGATTAGGCTGGAGGGGGGTCATGGGGCTTAGGGGAACAAGGCTGGAGCAGAGGGAAGATGTGCGGGGGGGATACAATTTTACTTCACAGAAGCTGCACTTTCCTTTACTCCCCACTTCTTTGCCTCCCTCCCCAACTTGCTATTTGGCTGCATTCCCACCCTCTCACCTTTTCTGTGTTCCTTCCCCAACCTCCTCCCACCCCCAAACTCCCTCTCATACTCCTACCTCACACCCTCTCCTGTCACCCAACTCCCTTCCAGACCCTTCCCTTCTCGCCCCATCCTTCACCCCACCTCCCGGCCAGATCCTGCATCCCTATCCCACTCACTGGCAGCCCTGATCCACAGATTTAATCCCTAATTTTTGTTCTCACCCCAAAGCCAAAGGGGATCCACAAATTACTTGATCAAACTTCATTTTAAATAAACATGAGTAAGTTAAAATGCTTAATCTGTGTAATCATTTAAATTAAACTGTTCTTACTAGTCGCAGCTGATTCAGAAAATAAGGTCACCATACCCAGCAGGGTAGTTCTCAACCATGCCCCTTCCTCCGGAGGCCCCGCACCTTCCAGGCCATCCCGCGACCACTTCCAAAATTTGTGAAGTGACCCATCTTCCAAAATTATTGCCCACCCCTGCATTATATCTCAGTTTTACCTACCAGCTAGTGACTCTGCGGAGGGCTTTGTATGATATCTACTAAAAGATTTACCCAGGGTTGCTCAGGTCCTTAACTGAAATAATTTTTGTTTTTCTTCATTGAATCATTGCTCTGGGGTGGGGCTGGGGATGAGGGGATCTGTATGCAGGCTGCCCAGGGGAGAGAGACTACCCCACCTTGTCTCATTGCAGCAGTTTGGGACCAGGTGAGAAATGCCTCTCCATTGCCACCACAAGTGCAGTGGGCACAGTTAGGAGAGTGGTGAGGTTAAAGCTTAAACAGTTACAGGTTTATTGAGGAAGCTTATAAATTATATGGTTACAATGGCTATTGCTCTGTTTCTTAACTGCTAGCAAATATAGATTTAAAAAAATGGTTACAAAGAAAATAAAGATAGACAATAGAAATAATGGTACCAAATGACAGCTTAATTTTTAAAGAGCTCTATTCTATGCATGTACTAAAACAAAAGGACATATATGGGTACCATTTTTACCCCCTTCTGCATTGCTCGGTCCCAGTGTGTCAGGCCAGGATCGGTCCCTCAATTCCTCGGAAAGACAAAAATACGAGGTGGGCGTCCCCGTGAACCTCGGGAGGCCAAACACCTAAGAAACACCTAACCTGACCAGCAGGTAAATGGTAGATTGACACTCAGAGTAAGTGTGCTGCTGGACCCATCTTTATACCCATGGGGTCACGTATTTCTCTTTCTTATCTGTGATGCCAAATGGTGCTGGCCTGTCTCTTGTGACGCCAGCTCTTACAAGGGAGTTGCGAACTTAATTTACTAAGTTGGAAGTACTAAGGATTCTTTTCTCAGTGGGAGATTCCTCTCCCAGGGACGGTTCTGTGTGATCATATCAACATTAGGTAAAGAAAACATTGAAACCTTTCGTGTTGGACCTAATATTTTATCAAGGTCAGTTTATTGCCTTAATCGTTTTTCCCCATATCTATGTTTTCAGCTTACTTGGGGTTAAAGAGAGGTTCGCATATTCAGATGGTCCACGGAGCACATGGTGGAGAGAACCTCCACCCTGACAATGGCATGACCCAACATAGGAGGGATAAATTTTGGCACGTCACTTCGGAAAGTTTGCTGATCCGTCGTAGAGGCTGTCCAGTTTGGCCAAAATATATGGCAGAGGGGCATTGTTGGCACTTGGAATCATAGAATATTAGGACTGGAAGGGACCTCGAGAGGTCATCAAATCCAGTCCCCTGCCCTCATGGCAGGACCAAATACTGTCTAGACCATCCCTGATAGACATTTATCTAACCTACTCTGAAATATCTCCAGAGATGGAGATTCCACAACCTCCCTGGGCAATTTATTCCAGTGTTTGACCGCCCTGACAGTTAGGAACTTTTTCCTAATGTCCAACCTAAACCTCCCTGGCTGCAGTTTAAGCCCATTGCTTCTTCTTCTATCCTCAGAGGCCAAGATGAACAAGTTTTCTCCCTCCTCCTTATGACACCCTTTTAGATACCTGAAAACTGCTGTCATGTCCCCCCTCAATCTTCTCTTTTCTAAACTAAACAAACCCAATTCCTTCAGCCTTCCCTCATAGGTCATGTTCTCTAGACCTTTAATCATTCTCGTTGCTCTTCTCCGGACCCTCTCCAATTTTTCTACATCTTTCTTGAAATGCGGTGCCCAGAACTGGAGACAATACTCCAATTAAGGCCTAACCAGCGCAGAGTAGAGCGGAACAATGACTTCTCGTGTCTTGCTCACAACACACCTATTAATACATCCCAGAATCATGTTTGCTTTCTTTGCAACAGCATCACACTGCCGACTCATATTCAGCTTGTGGTCCACTATAACCCCTAGATCCCTTTCTGCCATACTTCTTCCTAGACAGTCACTTCCCATTCTGTATGTGTGAACCTGATTGTTCCTTCCTAAGTGGACCACTTTGCATTTGTCTTTAATAAACTTCATCCTATTTATCTCAGACCATTTCTCCTATTTGTCCAGGTCATCTTGAATTATGACCCTATCCTCCAGATTAGTCGCAACCCCTCCCAGCTTGCTATCATCTGCAAACTTAATAAGCGTACTTTCTATGGCAATATCTGAATTGTTGATGAAGATATTGAACAGAGCCGGTCCCAAAACAGACCCCTGCGGACCCCCACTTGTTATGACTTTCCAGCAGGATTGTGAACCATTAATAACTACTCTCTGAGTACGATTATTCAGCCAGTTATGCACCCACCTTATAGTAGCCCCATCTAAGTTGTATTTACCTAGTTTATTGATAAGAACATCATGTGAGACCGTATCAAACGCCTTACTAAAGTCTAGGTATACCACATCCACCACTTCTCCCTTATCCACAAGACTCGTTATCCTATTAAAGAAAGCTATCAGATTGGTTTGACATGATTTGTTCTTTACAAATCCATCCTGGCTGTTCCCTATCACCTTGCTACTTCCCAAGTGTTTACAGATTTCCTTAATTACTTGCCCCATTATCTTCCCTGGCACAGAAGTTAAACTAACTGGTCTGTAGTTTCCTGGGTTGTTCACTTGATGGCATTTCGTTGTTCCTTTAGTTAATAATCCTTGTTGGCTTGGTGACAGCATGCCTGATGTATTCAGTATTAACGCTCTGAGACACACTGTCATTAGTCAAGAGTTGGTAAGTAAATATCAGGGAAGCGCACTAAAAGATAAAAAGTCCCATCTACGCCCTAGGATTTTATTGGTTAGAGGATTAGGAATGGGTTAGTGATGAGTGACAGCTGTTTGCTACTGCCAGAGACCAAGGGCAATCCATGCTTTGGGAAGGGTACGCCGGGGGGCCAGAACAGAATGTTTTCACACAGCTGTGATCAGGCACGTCTCAAGCACAGTTCTCCATTGGTAGGGCACAGAGCACTACATAGAGGAGGGAAGCTGAGACAGACAAGAGACAGAGCACAGAGGTAGGGTTATTCATTACGAGACAGAGGGTGGATTGCCGGAAGCAGCAAGTGTTCAGGAGGGATGCAGAGGAGAACCACCTGTGTGATGGCAGAGGAGGGCAGCATGGCAGAAAACCCCGGGAGGAAATGAAAGAAGTCAGTGAGGGGAATGGGAGACGCACAAGGAACAGGATGGGGTACAGTGTGAGGGGGGCGAGGGATGAGAGCAGAGATCCAGCTGGGACCAAGGTTGAGAAGACCATTTTCCAACATGGGTGTTTTCTATTGTAGTCAGGCGACACCCAAGACCCAGGAGGGATTGTGCTGGTCCAAACCCTCCAAAGGAGGGACCACCAGTTACCCTGCAGCACAGTTTCAGAGCCTGGCTGTCCCACCAGCTGGGAGGGACACCCAACAAATGACGGGCAAGCCACAGATCCTGCCTGCGCTGCATTCAAGCTGCAAGTCAAAGACTAACCACACTAGGCAGAGTCCTGGGAGAATTATTGGCAATCACACACAGAACAGGGAGTCTACAGAAGGAAGAAGACTGCGTCCAGTCTTCACTACAAATATTAGCCACGTATAAACATGGTTTCAATCCAGGCAATGCCTTCGGTCCACTGTGGCAAGAAGTAAACCTATTTCCTCTCCATGTTTTAACCTCAGGACAGTCCACGCTTGAGACGTGTCTCTATGAATGCATTTTTTCTGTTCACACAGGCAGAGAGAAACTAGCTGTAACAAAGATGGGCCAAGGTCACGTGTGGACGTGTTTACTCGTGTAGCCAAGCTGGGTGGGCAGAAATGCAAGTAGCCACGCTTACCGTTGTTCCTGAGAGTGACGGCTGCTTGCAATAGAGCAGTATTGAGCTTTCCGCCTTCCATGGTATCCTTAAAGACGTGTGCTACGGAGAACTTTTCTGGGAGAGACATCCCCAAGGAGGCAGCAAACTTCTTGCAATCCTCTTCCAGCTCAGAAACCAGCTGAAACACACAGCGTTCCCATCACCCAAAAGAGCAAGTTACATCTCAACGCAGAACAAGGAAAAGTCACTCAAAACTCCCATTCCCACCAATACACACACACAGCATTAACTATTGCCTAATGACTGTTAAGGTTTACCAATAAGTGACTATTCTGAAGCAGGAAGGAAAGGCCTTGCCCAGAAGGAACAAAGTAGGTGCATTGTGTTTTAGAGCTAATGCAATACCATTGGCCACAAGCCAACGAATTAACCTTCCATTGGCGGAGGCTATTTCTCATGGTGAAAGTGCCAAGCTATAGAAGACTTAAGCCCATCCTGAGGCCAGACCAACTGTGAACCTACCCAGTAGGCAAAATTCAAACCTAGCCATGTCTTTGCCCGATGGCAATAGCGTCACCCAATGAGTCAAGAAGAAACTCTCTCCCACCCAGCTCGGCACGGCATGTGCACAGCTTGTGTTCAACCCACACCATGCCCTACCCATCTGCTCCATTCCCACACTCGCAAGGCTCAGCGGAGATAATCGCTTACCTGAGATAAGGTGATTTCCCCTCTCATCGCTCTGGCATAGGGACCACCGGGGCCCGCTCCAAGGATGACATTTTGCAAAAAGTTCCTAAAAATGAATGAACAAGTTACCATAAGGAACCAACAAGCAGCAACTGGCTCCAGAATGCTGCTGTCCAATTACAACTTTCCACAAGACAAGAACTGGCCATAGTCAATGCGCTGGGAGCCATTCAGTAATTTAGTTCTACTCTGAAGAGGGATGGACAAGAGAGAGTTTCCAAGTCCCCACGGATCTGAGTGATCTACTGGGGAAAGGTCTCAGAAGGGTAGCCATTTTATCTGTCTGCCAGTCCCCACGGATCTGAGTGATCTACTGGGGAAGGTCTCAGAAGAGTAGCCATTTTATCCGTCTGCCAACACAATGCAGAGTCCTGTGGCACCTTACAGACTAACAGATTTATTTGGCTTTCGTGGGTAAAGACCATGTCATCAGATGCATCGGACAAAGCGGTTTTTACCCATAAAAGCTTTTGCCCAAACAAACCTGTTAGTCTGTAGGATGCCACAGAACTCCTCCTTGTTTCCACTGGGGAAAACATGTATTCCTTTGTCTCCCGTTGACACTGGTGATTGCTGAGGAAGCTGGATTTTAGTCTCCTTACACAAGACAGGGAATAAAAGCCAGTAGGATGGAGGGAAAGCTATTTATGGAAAAGAAGTCATCTTACTTGAGAGCACACAGCCTCAATGTCAAACAGTGCAGATGAGTGTTTCTTAAACTTTTTAAGACTGAGGAACATCCCAAGGGTTTTTTTTTGTTGGGCGCAAAAAAAAAAAAGGTCACCTGCCCCTCTAAGGGCAGCCATTTTGAATTATGTTGGTAAACATTGGTATAGATGAAAGTGACCATTTCAATTATGGGGCAAATTAACTTCTGGTGCAATTCCAGTCACGTCAAAGAATAAGTCTAGTCTATCCCCTTCCCACGGCAGTGTGGCTCACGATACTCACCCTGCTCTGCGGACCTCAAGTCCCCAAATCACCTATCACTTCTCCTAGGTTGTCTAGTACAGTGGTACGAGAACCTTTAGGGATACTTGAGAGAAGTCTCGGGTTACATCAACACAACTGAAGTTCTGAGAAAACTGAATTTTTGTTTTAACTTTTACAGCGTTTTATTATTTTTCTACGTTTTACACCCAAAAATTTCACCCCCCACCCAGCTACGATTAAGTTGTTTAAACAAATGGGTTGCAACGGTACAAAAAAAATGTTGTGTGTTTGAAAACTGTAGGTAGTGGGGGTACTTATAATTTATTTCGAAAAAAGGATACTTTATTAAAAAAAAGTTGAAAAACTTTATGCCGGGATCACTTTTGTGATGTTCATCTCAGATTTTTCCTTTGCTTCATTTTATCTCATCATGGATTTGTACTGGGAGGCAGCACGTGGCCTAGTGGACAGAGCATTAAACAGAGACTGCTGGGCAATCTTGGAAAATTCACGTCACCTCCCTATGCCTCAGTTTCCCCATATGCTTAAAAGGGATGGTGGTGACCTCCTAAGTAAAGTGCCTTGAGATAGACATTAACTGTAGGTGTTTCAGGATTGGGGCCTCATCATTAGAGTCCTCAGTGGATACCAAATTTTCATAAGCATCCAATCCTCAAACAACTAGGGATATAGACCAGAGAGTCACAGATCTGGGGGCTCTATTCACTGTGACTATCTTAGTACATGTTGTACCTCCTTAGTCCGACATCCTTGGGTCCTGACCAGTGTCAAAACAGGGAATCTGATGGACCAGGGGAGGTCTGGAGCCACCCTGCCTCTTCCCCCAAGCATTCCCCTGACCCCGCTCCGCCCCCTCACTCCCTGACCTTGAGTAAGTGTCACAAGTGAGCTATTTGCGGTGCTCTGGAAGCCCTAGGAGGGCAGTTGTGAGCATACCCCACTCTCCTGCTTTTCCCCAGACATGCTCCAGCCCAGGGGCTATTTGCGGTGCTCTGGAAGCCCTAGCATACCCCACTCCCCTGCTTTTTCCCAGACATGCTCCAGCCCAGGCCCACCCATGGAGATGCCGGACCACAGATGTTGCCAAACTACAGACGTCCAGGCGACAGAGGTCAAACCTGCACTTCTGTGGTCCCATTATCCTAGTATCTGAGCACCTCCCCAGGCACTACTGTCCCATAAAAAGTGGGGGAATGGAAAAAAACTAAGTGACTTGGCCAATGTCCCACAAGGGCTCTGTGGCAGAGCAGGAATCAATTCTTGGTCTGCTACAGCCCAGGCTGGTAATCTATCCAGTAGACTAGGGGGGGGCAAACTTTTTGGTCCAAGGGCTACATCAGGGTCTGGAAATTGTATGAAGGGCCATGAATTTTCACAACATTGGGTTTAGGGTGCAGAAGGGGATGAGGGCAGCAGCTGGGGGAAGGGACTCTGGAGTGGGGAAAAATGAAGAATTCAGGGAGCAGGAGGGGCCTCGGGGCTGGGGATGAGGATAAGGGGTTTGGAGGGCAAGAGGGTGCTTTGGGCTAGGAGCAAGGGGTTCAGAGAGTGGGAGGAGGGCCAAGGCTAAGGAAGGGAATTAGGGAATGAGGGGGGACTCCGGAGTGCAGGATCCTGACTGTGCTTACCTTCTCAGCCACCTCCCAAGTGAGTCCGCGGATACCAAATTTTCATAAGCATCCATAACATGTCCCCCCGCCCCCAGCCAGCTCCGACAGAGGCGTGGCCAGGCAGATGTGCGCGCTGGCTCCCTCTTGGCCCACAGGCACCGCCCCTCCAGCTCCCATTGGCTGAGGTGCCCATCCAATGACAGCTGCAGGGACAAAACTTGAGGGCAGGATTAAAATGGCCGACGGGCCACATGGGGCGTGTGGGCGCTAATTTGCCCCTCTCTGCTCTGACCATTCTTCCTCTTCCAGCTCTATGCACCACTCGGGGCAGCACTTTTGCCCTCTAGAGGGCAGTGCTGCTGCTCTTCCCCTTCCTCTAGGGGGCGCTCCAGCAGCAGGACCTCAGAGAGGGCACCCACAATGACTAAGCCAGCACCCACAATCCTATGATGCAGCAGTTCCCAACCGCCAGTCCATGGACCAGTGCCAGGCAGTGGCGGCTACCAGAGTTGAAGCCGGTTGTTCGGTCTATATTTGCATATTTCCATATTCATTATTTGCATAATGAATATGCAAATGTGTAAATAGAATGTTACCGGTCCACCAAAAGTTTGCCAATGAGTTTGCCAGTCCGTGCTATACAAAAGGTTAGGAACCAATGCGACACACTGAATGCCCTCAACTCCCATTGCCTGCCCACCAGCATCAACGTCTTGCCATGCACTGCAGAATAGATGTGCAGCTGGACAGCTCTGCTACCTAAACTCAATAGTTTGGGGCCACCCCAAACTAATCCTTTCCTCTCTCCCACAGATTATGCCCTTCAAACCGCTCAAGGAAGTGTCACAATCCCCATCCGCTTTAGCAGCAGTTAAATTACAGTAGGGGTTTTCTTTTCATCTTCCCTCGTTAGCTTAATCCTTTCCAGCCCCTGAAGCCATTTTGAAGGACTTTGTTCTACCAAGGATTTGAACAACGGATACCTGGCTCCCGTCTTCCCAGGATGCAGCAGGTGGTGAAAGACAGACATCAGAAAAATCGGAAGTGACAGGACAAGTTAAAAGAACAAAGGCCTTTTGAATGGAAAGTTGCATCATTGATCAAGCGGGGCCACTCCAGTTTCTTGCCGACATTAAAATAGTCTAAATAATCTGATCCCGGACAGCCCATCTCTTTGCCAACACAGCATAAACCTTCCTCCCCCCACATTGTCTAATGTACAGTCTACTTTGGCTGCCAGTAGGAATATTCATATGCTTATTTTGGTAAACGTGTACAATTTTCAGCAGGTACACATTTACATGCGGGGACAAGGGGAGATGGCTCCCTGGGAGGAGCTGGCTTTAAGCCAGCTCCCATGTTTACACTATGGCATCCCTAATTACCAGCATGCCGAACATAGGATCCAATGATCTCCTAAGTCACCACCCTGTTGAGATGTTTCCTTCACGGATCTTCAGTTGAAAGGTCCCTGCAAAAGGGGCAGTTGCTCCCGGGCCCAGCAAGTCACTTAGAAGGATTTGATTGTTTTTAAAAAATTGGTAAATGTCAATTGCACCATGTGACGACGCATTGGGGTCCCCCGTCTCCTGCACCCCCGAAATGGCACGAACAGACTCCGCCAGCCAGTAGAATAGAGGTGGTTTATTGCTTCTCCAGTATACAGCACAGCACAGATGTCATCAGGTTACAGGGCAGGCCTAGGATGCCTCAGCCCCCCTTGATATGGGGCAGGGGTCTCGGCTTTTAAACCCCCAGCCTGCTGCTGAGGCTGCTTCCTCCATGCTCCCAGACAGAAACTAACTCACTCTCCTCCAGCCCTGCCCCCCAGCCAGGGCAGCATTCACCTTCCTTTATTCCTCTCCATGGGGGTTAGCTGGTCAGACTGGTTGAGAGATTCCTTTGCATAATGACCCATCCCTGTCCTTCTGGGCTGTGATACCGGCGGCAGCCAGTGGGGTTACCAAAGACCCATAGAAACCAGCAAGTTCCCCCCCACTACGTCACACACCTCACAAAAAAAGGGAAAATATTTCCACTGACACTAACTCAAATTCAGAGAGAGGAATAGTGCCCATCTTAATCCAGGAGATTTTACAGTCAGATTTTAGGGTATTTACTTTATATATTTTGATGAGCTGCGATGTTGACACTGTTAACAGTGTGTCTATCCTGTCAGGGATGATCTAGACGGTGCTTGGTCCTGCCATGAGGGCAAGGGAGTGGACTCGACCTCTCGAGGTCCCTTCCTGTCCTATGATTCCATCCTTAAATAAATGTCTGATCCCCCACCCTGACGGTTTGAGCCGCTTGCAGCTCCTTGCAACTGGGAAAATCTAAATTGAAAAAAAAAAAAGCTTAAAAAGAAACCACATTATCAGTCAACGTGAAATAAAGGTGGCAAATTCTGCCCAGCATATGACGACGGCTTTAATGCTGCAATGCCGGGGCAGGACCAGAGCACTTGGACACTCTGTCCCTA